TGTTTACGCGTTCGGCGCTCGCGGCTCTCTACCTGGTCGAGCCACGCCGTCGCTCACGCGTTCGCGGGAGACGGGGGGGCGCGGGCGCCTAAACTATACGATCGTACGAAACACGGCCCTACAGGATCGTACATGTTCCGACACGATACCCCGCGATCACCGTTGTTTGTAAAAACCCCGCGTTACAGTATTTATTTAATTACATTGAATAGCATTAATGCCAAGTTTCAAGTAATTCAGATCATAAATAATTGTTTGCCCATATAAACTTTATCACCCTCTTTTACCCTCATTTTAAAGCTAAATATGTAACACTTTCCGTGCATTTCCCGTTAAGAATAACAGAGTTTCATACAATCTTTTATCTATTATTTTACCCCTTTAGTGGATGATTTTCAAAAATCATTTCTCTTCACTGTATGAGGAATATGTCCTCCGAATTTCACGTTTCTACGACCAGAGCTTTAGGCTGTGCGTTGATCGACCAGTCAGTCAGGACAAAGCATTTTATGTATATATAGATGTTTTCAGATGTCTATTATTAAATTTAATTATGTAATAAACATTTAGATAAACAATAATATTATGATCAAAGTTTGAGGGAAACATGAGCACTGTCGTAATTTAAATTCTACTTTACTTAATACGTTAAATAATGTCTCTAAAATATTGTTTTCTACAAATGAACTGATTTTTTCTGCCTAAAATGGTTTTTAACCGACTTCCAAAAAGCAGGAGGTTCTCAATTCGTGGGAACCTTTTTTCTATGTATGTTCACCGATTACTAAAAAACGCCTAAACTGATTTGGATTTTTTTTATTTCAAAGGGTGGTCCCATATAAATTTTATCGAAATCGATCAAGCGTTTTTTTTAAATCAACAAATAAATATTTTTTTAAATAAATTACTTAATCGAACATGTTATTAAAAAACTTTCGTCTAACAAATTACCTGCTTGTTACGTCTAAACTAAAATTGGACAAATAAAAACTTAAAAAAAAAACCGACTTCCAGGCACTAAAATGTAAAAAACTACTAAACGGGGGTTTTCATTTAGAATTGTTACCTAATCAGTTTTCGAAGTCGGTGACAGCCGACAATATTTTAAGATTTGAAATTTGAAAGTCGGTTTTTTTTAAGTTTTTATCTAGTTCATTAGTCATTAGTCGTTAGTCAAAAAAATCAGCGGGAGGTAACTGTAACCCGCCGAAAGAATTAATGTAATCAAAGACTCTCGTAAAACTCGCTCGCGACTTACAAGATCCCGTCAGGCCCCAGCGTTCGAGCGCACAAACTAAGCGCGATCGGGGGCCGCGATTTGCGCCTGTTGCTCTTCGCAAGTACATACATTCGTTTCCACTTTCCCAACTGTAATGTAATTGTTAAACTGTGATATTATATTGTCGCAGAAACACCTGAGCAATAAAATTATATGTGATATATGGAAATAGGCAGACAGAAATAAATGAGTGAGATCAATAACCAGGTCCATGAATGAGTCGATTTGTTGTTGTTAAAATACCTGTGCCAAGAGAAAAATATTTAAAATTGTATCGTTGGTTTTTCCTTAGGTAATGTTGAATGTTTAGGTACACATATTTTTATATTAGAAAAAAAAACAAATATAAATAATAAATATTATAAAATATTACCTATCATTAGAGACTAGGAACAAAATGACTGCCAATTGTAACCACAAGCATCCACTCATAACTTGAAGGCCATTTCGATCTCCGATACCCCACACTTGGATAAGAATAGACGCGGAAGAAAATCATTATTTGATATCTGATGAGTAGTTCTTTATAGGTACTCGTAGGTACATATTTATAAGCGATTATCCTTCATCAATTTTGAAAATATGTACATAAAATTAAACCCTTTAAATTATGTCCCACAGCTGGGTACGGGCCTTGCCTAGTGCAAGGAAAATCAGACTAGAGACTTCACACATAATTTTCCTTTCGACAAATTTCTCAGGACTTGTAGACATGGATGATTGTAGGCATGCAGGTTTTTTCATGATGTTTTCCTACCCCGTATGATAAATGGTAATCAGTTTGCAAATGATTTGCACTTGAATTTCACGGCGGTTCGAGTCCTGAGTTTGAAGTTTCACTTGACCAACTAAACAAGCACTTTATCAATTATGGGCTGCCACTGCTATTCTGCTATTAGAATTTAAACGATAAGTAATATGAATATCTAATTATAATTTGTGGAACTATAAGAGGACCATGACACTAATAAATTAAAAGATATGATTAAAGTGTAATATTGCATAGATATTCTATATGAATAAATTATTTATTTATTTGGTAATCGAACAGCGTTACAGTATTAAGATTGCACATTGTACAAAAAAGAGAATTACAATAAGGCCAAAATTAGATTACACTAAAAATAGAATAATAATGAACAACAGGCATAAAAATGGTAAAGCAAAATTTAGATATTCAAAAGATGTCTTAGATCTAAATATAAAATCTATATATAAATTATGTTACGCTCTGTCAGTGTAGATGTAGGATGTACTTACAAATTGATGACATTTCTATACATGAGTTATCGTTAAGAAACAACATATCATTAACTAGCAGAACCCGCGGCTTCGGTCGCGCTAAAACTACAAAAAAAAACTAAAAAGGTAGGCTTGATACAAACAACATATTTTACTCCTTTATCAGATGAATTTTGATAAATGATAAATCACGAGAATTAATACCAAGTTTCAAGTAATTCTGATCATAAATATTTTTTTCGGTTGTAATATAACGTGTTTTCCCGTGGGAAGTAGATGACCTTCCGCGGTATAAAGTAGACTATGTCACTCTCTAGCCCTCCAACTATCATCACACAAAAATTCGCGCCAATCCATCATTCCGTTTTCACGTCAAAGAAAGACAAACAAACAAACACACTTTCACATTTATAATATTAGTATGGATTATAATTTATAACTTATCTGTTTTAAAGGATATTTAAAACTTTACTATTTAGTATTTAACGATTTATTTTCAACGATTTCAATAGTGGCCAAATAACATGTTATCTACCACAAATGACGAAATATAAGTAAATAATTCTTATAAATAATTAAATGCATAGGAAAATTCTCACGTGCATAATTAATTTGTATAATATAAGAGGAATCATATTACTTAAATGGCATATCAACGCACATACACACTAGTTGCAGCCTGCAACTTGCAGGCCCAAGTACTTATAAAATATTGTAACAATTTACCATAAATCTATACTAATATTACAAAGATGCAGAGTTTGTTTGTTTGTTTGTTTGTTTGTTTGTTTGTTTGAAAGCCTTAATCTAAGAAACTACTTACTAATCCGATTTGAAAATTCTTTTTGCATTAGATAGCCTGTGTATTGAGGAAGACTATAGTTTATATATCATTACGCCACAACCTAAGGGAGCGGAGCAGTAATCATAAATATCAACAAATCGGGCAGACTTCCATACGTTATTGTAAAACTATATTATATATTATATAAAAACATAGCGACGAACCCGAGCAAACCGAGAGTGAGTCGGTGTATAAAATATTTTTTTGTAGATTGAACGCAGGCGAAGCCGGGAGTTCTGCTAGTGTTATTAATAAAAAGACGCAAATTTAATGTGTCGTCTCGTGACAAACAAATATAGTTTATATTATCATATAGATAATTGTACTAAAGCGTGTAGGTAATTAGCAAATAAAACTTTTGTTTAAGGTTTCAATAGCGGCATAGATTCTCAAATATATGTACCTATCATTCGGTCACAGTTCAGCATAACATATTAAGTAGCTTAATATGATCACCGTCTTTTACTTACAAAAACGCTGTATACTATAAAATATTTATTACAAGCGACTCATCCTCGTTTCGTCCCTGGGTATCTTTTATACAGTCTTATATTCGGACTACTAGTCACACTGAAATCGCTAAACGGATTTGGATGAAATTTTGTACACATATAGGCACTATGACCTAAAGTACCATAAAGGCTACTACAAACATAGGAGCAAAGCGAGCGTAGGTCGTTAGTATTGTGTAAAGGCCAACTTGTGGAATTTTTTTATCACGAAAACCTACAAGTATTTAAGTACCTACTCGTATATAGGTATATTTAGTAAAAAGTAAGATAATTGTTATAAAAATGTACATTATTAATAATTTAAATAATTTTGTGTTAAAAAATTAATCAAATAAATAATAAATATTCTGATGACGTCAATTGGTGAGATCTTCCCTTTAACTAGCATGCATCGCGTTCATGGCGGCGCGGCATCACCCGCGTGGCCGGTGACTTCTTGTAACATGTGCGCTTATCAAGTATGCTATTGTACTGATAGTATGAATTCTTTTGTTTTCATTGGTCGCACCGAGGGCGTGCGCGCCGCCGCCTGCCTGTATATAATAACTCGTCTTCAAATTTATTACATCACTACTTGCTCAAGCGCCGCACGTGACGCTATATCATCTTATATTAACTTATCTGTTTTACTATATTCACGCGACCTTACTATATTTGTATATCGTTTTCTAATTATAAACTTCTAAGGTAAGAAACTAGGTATAATTGTATCATATTATAATTTATAATAATCAATTCATGAGTAGAGAGGCAAGTGCTAAGGGTAGAGGTAAATATGTTCCTCGATGTGAGCCTCTTTCCAAATATGTTACTAAAAGAAATATTTTGTTTTTTATAAAGCTACATTTTATTTATTACTATATTTCTATAAATAATCTATAAATTAATATGATATACCTATTCCCATTAAACATTTTGATTTTATCCCGAAAAGGATATGATAGAAAAGCTGTAACGTTTTCATTTATACATATTAGAATTTAGAAGTCATAATTCAAAATACAAATAATATTAAATTAAATTGTATGATGTTAGTAAGATGATCTATCTGTTTTATTTTCAAATTTATTCGTCAACCTAATTGGTTCAATTGATGTATTCATACGAAGATTCGATTTAGAAGATGGCGTACCAGCAGTCAATGCCCAAATCAGAAACCATTAAGCTGCGAGAAAAACACATTGGGTAAGTTTAATAGGACTTGAAATTCTTATAACTAGATATTAGATTCCTTGATAATAGGTACCTATTCTTAAAATATTAAGGTACGTTGTGGTAATACCGGACGGATTTTCGAGTAGTTGAAAGAGTACGACGAAAAAATTAATTTCTCGAGATCAGTATACGTCAAAATTCTCGAATATGGACCAAATTGTTAATGAAAATACTTTCTAAAGCTGTAAGTTTTGCTGTCTTCGTAAGTTTAATAGTTCTAACTTTATACGTTAGTTATTTTTTACATTTTAGTGCTTTTGTTTGAAGTCAGTTTTTATTTTTTTGTTAAAAAGTTTTTATATTTCCCTTTTTAGTGTAGACAGTAGTAGCAAAGTAAGAATTCAAACGTGTTAGGCTTGTCAAATCAAACAAATTAAGCCCAAACTCAAAGTACCTACTAAGTATTAGCCGTTGAAGAGTCCTACCTATCCACCTTCTGGCCTTACCATCAGATCAGGTCAACAATACCGAACCACTGTACTATCAACGGAAATAGAAACACTCGCAAATTTCAAGTCAATATGTCAATTAGAAGTAGGTTAAGTAATTCATCATTAGCTATTTTTCCACCCTCAGGGGTGGTATTTTTTTTTTGAAAATTAAACGGGACCAATCTGGAAGTATACACTTTCAAACAACAATTGTTCAAATCGGTTAATAAATGACGGAGTTCAGAGGTAACAAACATAAAAAAAAACATACAGCCGAATTGAGAACCTCCTCCTTTTTGAGGAAGTCGGTTGAAAATCTGCCGGGTTTGCCGGATATTAAATTCGTACGATCTTACCCCAACATACTTAATTGATTAATAGATTCTTTCAAACGTCGCTTTTACAAAGGATAATAAATAAAGTAAGCCTAACATTTATCAAGGCCGGTCTATTAGTATTAATTGCTTGTTCCGCTACGGTACAGAAACTGGGTGGAGATTTGAAACAGTAAATTTGTTCCAGCGCCGCCTGCCAGTTGTTTTTCCGTTCGTCTCCATTAAAAATAGTGCGAGGTGTAGCCCAATTTATGTATGACGAGACGGGTGAGAGATATCTCGACTGTATCAACAACGTGGCACACGGTTAGTAGCTTCCTAGTTCCCATTGTACCATTATGAGTGCCAGTAAGACTATATGCCCTGTACATATCAGCTTTCAGCTGACCAAAAACCAAATTCTTAGGTTTTACATATTAGTATACTCTTACATTGCAGTTTTAATATTTTATTTCAGAAATGAGACATTTTCTCGCGGTAAAAATATCCTATATGTTGACCCAGCTATCATTATAACAAATTTCATCAAACTCCCTCCAGTGGTATTTCTGTGATGCGGTAAAGACAGACAGACAAAAATTCTAAAAACTATAGATTCGACGTCTGTATCGATAATAATGTTTATTTCAATAAGAATTTCCAAAAAATATTTAATGTACAGATTCGGCCTAGTTACAATTTTATTATATGTATAGATGTAAAATAAACTACGAATTTTCAGTGGGACATTGCCATCCGCATGTAGTGGAAGCTGGAAGAAATCAGATGTCTTTAATATCGACTAACAATCGCTATCTCCATGACGAGCTCGTCATTCTTGCAGAGAGGCTCGTGAAGACTATGCCCGAGTCACTTTCCGTTTGTTTTTTTGTCAACTCGGGATCTGAGGCCAATGATCTAGCCTTAAGATTAGCCCAAGTTCATACTAAGAAGAAAGATGTCATCACACTCGACCAGTAAGTATTTATAATTTTAATCTTGAAGTGTATGAACTATCTTCTTTTGATAATAGAACTGGAATAGGTATATTTTGATGCATTCTTACATTGTGAAAGTCAGTGAACTATTTCAATTGTATATACATTTATAGTTCTAGGTTGTTAAAATTATCATTTGTTGAAAATATGCCAAGAAACTTATCTCGGTTTAAAGTACTTGTGCTCCAAAAACATTAAAATTCAATTAGTTCGAACATACATTATATATTAATAAAAAAAAACAAATATGCTAATACTATAATATATAATAATTAAAACAAATAAGTATCTATTAAGGGTGAGGAATGTATGAGTATAAGATAGGGTAGAGTGTTTTGAGGGTGCTACTAGCGCCTGTTTGTTACAGTGCATATCATGGACACCTTACGTCTATGATTGATGTATCTCCATACAAACTAAACCTACCCGGAGGGCCAGACAAGCCAGATTGGGTTCATGTGGTGAGTTCGCCATATACCTTCCGAACGGGTTCAGGGATGACAATTTAGTATAAGTTACCGTCACATTTTTATATTTGATACAAATAACAATCAGGTAAATTGGTACCTTACAATTAACATTAGCCTCAGCCCAGTAAGGCTAACAAGAAAATGCTAACTACAAGCGAAAAGTCAATTTGTATTAGCATTATTAGTTTCGCCGATATAGGGCACAAAATAAAACAGAAATTTCAAATTAATGTCTGCGTTTATTACAAGTGAATTCAATTTTCTCGCGATATGTACGTAAGAACATAATATTATGTTTGATGAAAGTTTATACGTCCACCCGCGCTATATATCCGACGACATAATATTTTTTATTGTTACATATTATACAGGCGTTTGCTTCTTTTTCAACATTAATATAAATCAACAAAATAAAGGAACATATTTTCATAGAAATGTGACAATAATAAAACAATATATTTTCTTTTCTTATTAGGCACCGGTTCCAGACGTATATCGAGGTAAATATACGTATCCAAAAGATTCTTTATCAGAAGAGGAGCTAGGAAGTATGTATGCAGAAGAAGTTGGCATAATTTGTGAAAAAGTTAAAAAAGAAAAAGGCGGTGTTTGCGCTTTTATAGCAGAGAGCCTTCAGAGTTGTGGAGGTCAAATTATTCCTCCGAAAGGCTATTTTAAGCGTGTGTACGAGTAAGTATTTGCAATATCAAACTAAGCGTTTTAATAGTAAATAATAATAATATAAATAATAATAATTTATACATTTTATTAAAATTGCGCATGAGACGTTTATTCTTGAAGTAAATTCATTGTCACTTTTATAAAATTACTAATTTTAACATTACTTGTTTATCATATATCTACCTGTATAATTATACCTATATGTTTTTCTTTTGTGGCGATTTTCAATAACGTTTCTTATTTAGGTACCTACTTTAAATATCGTTTATAATTTTAATATTTATATTATAATAGATATGTGAGAGAGGCGAATGGGTTGTGTATTGCTGACGAAGTGCAAGTTGGTTTCGGCCGAGTGGGCTCCCACATGTGGGCCTTTGAAGCACAAGATGTCGTGCCGGATATTGTTACCATGGGCAAACCAATGGGCAATGGTCATCCAGTAGCTGCAGTCATCACTACTCAAGAGATCGCAAAAAGTTTTGCCGACACTGGTGTGGAGTATTTTAATACGGTAAGATGAATTTATATTGATAATTGCTTTCGTAGCCTTCTATACAGGAGACTTATACAACAATTTTTAAATGGGATATTTTAATAATGGAAAATTAAAATTATAGGTATGTAGATTTTAGATAATTTTTTAAAATTGGAATTCTAATGAAATATACCTATAAAGATCACCCATAAACTAAGTCTTACCGACTGAAGTTCAATTTCAATATAATCCTACTAGACTAATATTGGAGTAGTTTGACAAAACTTTTTTAATATATTTGACAAGTTATGGAAAAGTTTTAGAGTCGCTTTATTTCGGAACACGCGCGGAAACCTATTTTTTTTTTTTTAACGTTGGGAAATGCATTTACGCACGAGGTGTGGGACTCACCGGCAAAGCCAGTACTACCCACTAAAACCCAACAAAACCTTCCCCGTCTTAATGGGGCGTCGCAAGATCGCTTACGCATTCAACTACGACGCCCCGACGGCAGGTCTGCCGAAGCAGACCACAACAACCACGAGGTTGCTCCACAGTCCACTCTGCTATCAGAGAAGTACCAGGAGCAACCCGCATGGTACACCGCCCTCCGAAGAGGGCCACCTCCCTGTGCGTTTCTTGGCTTCGCGCCCGGTTGGATTGCCGGGCACTACTGAGCCCCCCCACCACGACAAGGTGAACGCACGTTGGGGGGGCGCGGAAACCTACCTACGTAACTTCAAATTTCATTAAATTTTAAGCCCAGAAAAAGGACGCACAAAATCTAAGTCCTTCAGTATATACTTACCTATACCCATTACCTACTACTTATAGTAGGGGAGCCCAAGAGGGGATTTTCTGTAGTTACTCGAGCGCGGCAGATTAACATAAAAGAGGTTACCTTGCACTCTATTGAGTACTTTCACCACAATATAAGTCTTCTATATAAAGGGGCGCGTCTAGGGAAGCCGATTAAAATATTTAAAAAATGTTTTGATAAGGTAGAAATACTTGAAACCGTCAGATTAAGGTGTGGTAGGCTAGTCACATCCTGAAAAGTGTCCAATTTAATAATCTGCCGATTTGCACAAGCCGAAGAGGCAAAAATCATCATAAACTTTATAGTTGATTTTTGCCTCTTCGGCTTGTGCAAATCGGCAGATTATTGAATTGGACACTTTTCAGGATGTGACTAGCCTACCACACCTTAATCTGACGGTTTCAAGTATTTCTACCTTATCAAAACATTTTTTAAATATTTTAATCGGCTTCCCTAGACGCGCCCCTTTATATAGAAGACTTATATTATGGTGAAAGTACTCAATAGAGTGCAAGGTAACCTCTTTTATGTTAATCTGCCGCGCTCGAGTAACTACAGAAAATCCCCTCTTGGGCTCCCCTACTATTATGCATATTAGTCAACGTTGATTTGACAATTGGAGATATTTTTAAGTTTGTTTGATATGATATTTAATAATTAAACACCTGTTTAATAATTACAGTACGGTGGTAATCCAGTATCCTGTGCTATTGCAAACGCCGTTCTAGACGTAATAGAAGAGGAAGGTCTCGTAGAACGTGCGTGTAGAGTTGGCAGTTATCTTCTCACACAATGCGAGGCTTTAAAACGTAAACATATGCTTATTGGTGACGTACGTGGTAAGGGACTTTTTGTTGGAGTGGAACTGGTAACTGACAGGGAGACCAGGACACCGGCTAAGGCTGAGGCCAAACATATCGTAAATAGGTAAACATTTTTTTCTTTTGGAAAAATTGCGGTAAGTGCTAATTGAAATAAAGAAATTTTAATAGCAATTAGTAAAAGGTTTATTTTTAAAGTATTTTTCTTTGACTTATACTGTTTTTCTGAAGTGAAACTTCTTTAGAATCGTTGATTACAGAAAATAGAAATGCAACACTTTATTAGATGATTTAAGCTGGCGAGAGAATGAGATGGAATTCATTGCCATGTTGCCATGGTAACCGTTATTTGAGATAGAATACATTACACGGGAAGTGAAAAATAATAAAATTAATGACTGAATAATATGTAATGTATATTTATGTCAAATAAAATGTGAAATAACTTTTAAAGTTGGTAAAAATATTATAAAAAAATTAAACCTTATAATTATCCTACTCCTGATAACTCTATATTCATCTCATTATGTCATAGGTTACTTAAACTTTTCTGAAGTTTCATTTCTACCAATAGTGTGAAATGTGAATCATAAGAAAAGACAGCCAATTTTTTACCATCCATAATAAATATTAAATAAAAACAATTTATACCATTTTTTTAGGATGAGAGAAGAAAAAATTTTGATTAGCCGAGATGGACCAGACAATAATGTGTTGAAATTTAAGCCTCCCATGGTTTTTACTTCCACAGATGTAGACACATTAGTGGACACTCTTGACAGAATTCTGTATGAACTGAATGAGAGTACTATACCAGTGAATGTTAAGTTAGAGGTACTTCAAAATTTCTTTTATTTTACTATTGAATTATTATGCAAATTTAAAATAACATTTTTGTTACTACATTCTTTACCATTTTCTTCAGGTCTTGGTAACCCCTATTAGTGATGGAGTACAAAGCAATGACTTAAAATTGAAAAACAGCATACAGCAACATATAAAGTCTGTGTAATTATAACCTGATCAGAAATCTCAAAGTATTATTGAATAAGTTTGTAAATATATTTTTTAATTACTATACTATATTAATTAAGTAAAATAAACAATAATTGGTTAAATAAAAGGTGTTCATAGTAGAAAAGATGTATTTGTTTAAAGCCATATAGTATAATCAGAAGGCAGTGGTAGCCCAGTGGTGACGCGCTCGCATGGGTAACCGAGTGAAGCGGGTTCAAATCCCGGGTCTCGCACCTCTGATATTTTCATGTGCGAATCTTTTTCAACATGATTACCACTTGCCTTACGGTGAAGGAAAACATCGTGAGGAAACCTGCATGTCTGAGAGAACCTAGCAAGTTTTCGAAAGACATGTGAAGTCTGCCAACCCGCACTTGGCCAGCGTGGTGGACTACGGCCTGATCCCCCTCATATTGAAGGGAGGCCCGTGCCCAGCAGTGGGACGTTAAGAAGGGCTGAATACACACACACACACATATAGTATAATCACGTTTCACTAACATACAAAATGCATGTTAATCCATATTTTTCGGCAATCCTCTAATGACTACTTGCAATTTACGCTTATTTGGATGGCCAAAGGCGCGATATGGTAATTCATTACTTTCGAAACACTGAATCAAAGCCTTGTGATCATTAAAAGTAAGACAAGTTATTTTAGTATAATATCTGCTGAGTGAAGGCTGATAAAAATTTATACCCATAGAAAGAAGTTTTCGGACATGATGAGCAAAGTCTACAGGTTTGTGTAAAAAAATGTGGGGTACTTTGATAGCTGGGTCGTGATCTTTCATAAATAATGACCATTCCATAAGATTCATTTGAAAAAGATGCGATGCCGCACTCTTATTACATCGGCCAATTTTTTAATTTTCCTCTTGTTTTGGGGGCATTGTCGATTTGAAATACATGTCAATTCATAAGTTAAAAGGCAACTATCGGTATAAATCAAAAATGGGCTTATTCAAATAACATATATTTTACAGGAGGCTAAAAGACAATTTATACTTAATCATTATTACGAAATGGATTGCCAGGTAATGTTATCGTTTTTAAGTAATTATTCTTACTTACGTCTCCTGTAGATGTAAATCAAGGTTCAAGAATCGAGACTAATTCAAAAATAAAAACAAAACGGGGTAGGTAGGTAGTTATTATTTTTTTCGTTTTTTAAATTTAAATCATGGATGACAAATAAAATAGATGAATTAGTTCCATACGAGCTCTTGGTGCATCTATCTATCCTTTTCATTTGCTTGGTAACTAGCATGCTATCTCTACATTTGGCGACAACGAGTGGGACAACAACTTATTTCTGTCGCAGTTACATACGTCACTACTGTGACGTCACTGCAATATTTTGTCATTTTTGAAATATTCAAGTTTTAACCGTCGTTATTACTCGCCCCTGGGGACTAGGGTGTGAGGGCTTGCCGTTTTTTATATTATTTTACACTTAAAATTTACATTTTATCAATTTGTAGATTAGTATTAATTAATGTGGATAAGTGCGGATTAATGTAGATCAGTGATATAGTTAAGATTTGTGCTTGGATACAAAATTTGTTATTTCTTCATTAGTGTTTCTCTTCCTTTTTTTGGTTTTTTATTAATGTTGTGTAATCATGGGAAAGCATTGTAATTCCGAATTGTCAGGAAGAAACAGAAGATTTTTCATGCCATAGAATGCCTTATAAAGATGCACTTCAATTTTATAACGTATACTTATAGAAATTCTTATAAACGGTTTATTTCTAGAGTAACTCTATCTGACCAGGTTTCTGCCAATGTAGCTGCAATAAATTCATTAATTTCTGATACTAAGGTAAATATACTTTGTAGTGCCAATGATGCATCAAGTGCTATCCATTATGAAGTTAATGGGAAGTGGGAACAAAACCTATCATAAGTATGATGTACCTCATTTACTGAAATGTTTCAGTAATAATTTTCAGAAAAAGAATTTGCTCCTTGGCAGTCAGCATGCTCAATGGGATTATGTTTATATGTTGTATAAAGTAGATGACCATAAAGGTGCTGCAAGGCTAACAAACTTACTGACAGGCATATTTATCCAAACTCTTTTGTTAAGATGAAGGTAACTATATTGTTCAGTTTAGTAAATTAAGTATTTATTATATTACTTTAGATCTTGGATATTATCTTTAATATGAATTTGTTTTTAAGAAGGAACTTCTTGAAGCTATTGATATTATTATACTATTTATTATTATACTATTTATTATTATACTATTCTATTCTAATATGTAAAATTGAATAGTTTGTTTATTGTTTGAATGCACTTATCCATGTAATGCTCAGTCCATTAAAAACAATTTATCAACTCTATAGCCTATCTATTGTATAATGTTAACAGCTATTTAAGGGCCTAATTGGCTTATCTACCTAGACCCTAATAATACTAAACTATTACTATATTTAAATAAGCTACTATTCATCTACAGTAGTTACTAGTTCATATACTATATAGTTATGGTGACTATTTGTTGTATTACATTATTATAATAATATATTTACAGGTGAAGTATATGCTGCGCAGGTGTTTCAGCAGTTGAAGTGTTTCAACATCTATAAGTCTCCTGATAAAGGCTTTTAGTTTCCAGGAAGAACACAATTATTGTAATACATTAAACGTAAATATTGAGAATGGCTTATTCACAGCTGAGATTATTTTATTCATTAATAATAAAATACATGATCCTTCTAAGAATCTGTCATCTCTAGTATGGTATGCAATTTAAATAATTAAAAGACAATTACCAAAGATTTGTAAAGTTTACATATTTCCCGATTTAATAAAAGCATTTGAAAATCTTGATACCTCTTGGTACACTTGTGTAGATCATAGAGAAATATTTTTAAGAGCATTCTCATTATTTATGATATGTATAAAAGTTAGACACAGGTGTATAAATTTTAATCGAAGAATTGAAAATTTGCTTAATATGAAAGTTTCAGAAGGGCCTAGCTATGGTTGAACTCATCTAGTCTTCAGAGTAGTGAATGATTTTCCAATATTTTTTCATTAATTAACTTTTAATATTTATTAGTCTTGTTTGTTTCATTTCTTGGTTATTTAAAAGATAATCACTTGGAATTTTCCATTTTCATTATGTTTCTATTAAGTATAAAAATAATGTATGAATATTTCAATTGATTTCTGTGAAATAATATTATAATTTCTTAAAATATACTACTATAGCAGTATATAATTTTAATATATTAATTATAATTGTTACATTTGATAGAAATATGCATTTAGAAATTTTATTTTAGAGTATGTTTAGCTGTTATTTCTTTTTACACCAAATTTTTACTATTACTATGTACATATTGATTTTAAATTTCTTAAGCTTTTAAGAAAATTAATTTTATTATTCATTTTTTACTGAAATTTGCATTTTTTTTTTAATTTATATAAGATTAAAATGTTTGTTTTTTCAAATGCGCTAATCTCGAATCTTTGCATTTTATAAACTGAAGATGAAGGTGGTTCTAGAGCTAAAACTTCAAACAAAAGCTAGATTTTAATTTATACCTACAATTAAACCTACTACTCGCTTAATATGATATTGTTATTAACAAAAACTATTGTTCTATGTTACTTCTAATTTTATTGCATTGTAATATTTTATACCAAATCGTTGTATTAGTCTTTGTCTCATTGTTATTATCTTTTGTATTTTGTATTCAATTGATAAAATTCTTTAAAAATGTCCTTTTATTGTAATAACAATGTATTATAAATGTTAAAAAAAAAAAGGTTATCCCGTCAAGGACCTCAGTCCTTGCTAATTCTTCTCAGGTCTGAGGCATTTTTCCGAACTAGTGGTAGCATTAAAATAGTAAAATAAAAAAAACTAGAAACCTATCTTTGTATTTTATTTCTAATTATAATTAATATCATAAAAATGAAAACCTTACTATAAAACCGATAACAGTTGTTGAATACCGATAACATTACGATAAAATACATCCCTACTTAATCGTAATCGTAATGAATACCGATTTTTACATCACTACGAACTAAATTCTCCCAGATTCGCATATGACGTCATACCCTTAGAAAGAGATGCGTGGCGACTCAAAAGAAATACAATAGCCGTGAAAGTGACAGCATATTTTGACTTGCCATTTATGCCATAACTGTCCCCATATTTAGGCAAATTCATGACATAGCTCTAAAATATAAATCAATTTTTATAACATAAAAACCTATGTTAATAGATATTTTATGTTTGATATGAAATATAATTAAAATATAAGATATTCGATAATAGTTAAAATCATTTAGAATATAATTATATAAATCAATATATAGCACATATGATTTATAAAAAAAACATTTTAAGCATATTTAACTTAAGTATATTTTATAATATAATAAGATATTAATTAACATATCCCATGTAGCTATTTTTAATTTATAATGGTTAAATCGGGAAAAATCTTTCTTTGACTATCTTGACCCCCCCGGCCCCCGCTTCGTCTTATTCGCCTTCGGTTTTATGAATATGCGCTTGTATGGAGCTCGGCCGGGGCTGATTTAAATCAACTTAATGACAAAATGATAGTGATGCCATTGCATAAAAATAATTTATATTTAAGGGCCTTAATACATCGTAGTAAACATTATCTCTACTTAGTCTATGGTCAATATATAGTAAGATAGCTAAGATCTATATTAACCACTTGAACCCCGCTGGTGCCTATAGGCACCACTTCCGGCGTTACCATCAAACCCCGCTGGTGCCTATAGGCACCACCTCGCCTGCTGCACTTTTATCACTTATTACACGACGAAATTAGTTTATTTTAAGCTGAATGGGTGATACAAGCAAACTTTAAAAGTTTTATTTACTATATAATAAAATAACATTTTAATTAAATGCTGACAAAATTAAAAACAAACGCATCAAAAATTGTTTAAATTTCAACTGAAGCGCGCGTGATTCGCTATTGTTTTTGTGT